GTCACAATTAGCGAAAACAAAAAACAACGATCTGATAAAAAGAAAAAATGATATAAACTCCTCAAAAGTGAGAGGTTGTACACATAAACACGGAAAAAGTTGCTCGCTGAGACGGCCACCGAAAGCAGCAACAACTGTCGACGAGGGTCAATGACTGGCAATCTGATGTCGACAAAGCATTGTCGTAATTGTCATCGTCATCACTTTTGATACCACTATTAACACCAACATTACCTTAGCCACAAAAATCATAATCAAATTTTTTTACCACCTTTCATCCTCTCGATCGATCTGTTGAACATCATTATTACTGAGAGCACTGTACAATAGAATGATACGATGTCGTCAATTACTGTAAAACCAGTTAGATCAGTAGATTTTTGAATGCAAGCTTTTTCTTTTTCATGCTATAATAAAGTAATAACTGGCGAGAAAAACAAAGCACAAAAAAAAAAGATTGAATAAAAAGATCTATAATTAAAAAATCGCCAAGCAAACAAGGAAAATTACAGAAAAAAAATTAATTTTTTTGAAAACAGAAGAAAAAAAGGGTAAATGTCGAAAGTTTGAAAACAAAAAAAAGAATTTTTTTTCATTTCTCTGAAAAACAATCTAAGTAAAGCTGCAAAGAAATCAAATGAAATGAAAAAGCCCTAAGAAGAGAGGATTTTTTTAGTAATCAGACAAATAACTAAAAAAAACGAATGAATTTACATTTTCTGATAAAATAATAATGTATTATTAATAGTCTACATCATGGTATTATAAAAGTTATCAGAAAAAAAAGCGTTTTCATTACTACCAGAATGCCCATCAATAACGGCAATAAAAACCATAAATTTTAGCAATGTTTATTTTATGGTTCGTTGACATCAGTTTTGGCCGACAAGTCATTAGGTGCAGTTTTTCTGTCTTCAAATGTTGCAATAAACCTGACTGAATACTACCAAAAACTTTTGTTCAGAATAATCAGTCCATCTTAAAAACTTGAAATTGTTTTTTTCCTACCATTTTTATCTAACTAAGGTGTTCAATTTGGATAATCTTCACAATTTTTATGCCTCAGAAATAGAATAAAAGAAAAAAAAAGCAAGTCACAGTGAAGGAAGCGCAAAATAAAGAAATGTATGACGAAAAAAAAAAACGATTTGCTAAACAGTGATGACAAGTAGGCGATATAAATTTGCGTGTTAGGCTCGTCTGCTGCCGTTGCTGCTGCCGCCGTTATTGTTGCAGAAGCAAAGATCGGGGTGATGTCAGATGCTGCAAAAGGCAAACCGGGAACAAGGAGACTGGTAAAGGGGATAAGAGAGGGGTGGATGGGTGGGTAGGAGAGAAGTGAACTGCCGCGATTGTCTGAACAGACGAAGGAGTGTACGGAAATATTGGTGAGATTTTATCGCAGCAAAAAAAAAGTTTGTACACGGAATGAAACACTTCTGACAAAAAAAAAAGAAGTTGATATTTTTATTTGACCAATTCACTACCGCTGGACAATTGCAACTGATGCATTTTTGTGTCTCCTTTTCTCTTTTTGTACCAAATTATTAAAGCGAATTTTTGCTGTTTACCAACAAACTACAGAAGATTGAAAATCATGCGAATGAAGTGGCATGAAAAAATTGGAAAGTTGGTTAAATAAAGGGATGAAAAGAAATGGGACATATTGAGATAAAGGAATAAATAGGTAAGTGTGAAAAAGTTGTATATTATATACATG